TTATACAAAAATGGAGAAAACTACAAAAAGAGACAGACGCCACAGGAGATTTTTAACACACCTTTCTTGGCCTGCTGGAATATTTAGAGCCCTATACTGTATCCAAGGAATAGAGAATATATGTTCTTATCACATTTGACCAGATGGTCAATACTTACTTAGCTCATATGGTCAAATGAAGAAAAATGAACAGTGAAATAAAAACAAAGAAAATAGGTGGAAGGATTTTTAAAAAACATAAATGAAATAGAAAAAAACATAGAATCTCTGCAAAACTAGAAGCTGATTATTTGAAAAGACTAATAGTTGACAAACCATTGCACAATCAAGTAAAAAAAGGCACAAATTGCCAATAATAGGAGTGAAGAGGAACTATCACTACAATGCACACATTAAAAGAAAAGAGGATATTAATAAATACTTTAGGCCAATATTATTAAATTTTTAATAGAAAACTCCAAGGAAAATACAGCTTACCCAACTTGCCCATGAAGTAGAAAACTGTTACACAGTTTTATACCTATAAAAGGAATAGAATAAGTGATTTTAAAATCTCAGAAACTATAGGCCCAAGTGAATTCCATACACTATTCCTTACTGGTCAGGAAGGACTAGCCATATTTATTACTTTGAGATTATCAGTGTATTCTTATTGCTGAAAATCATCAGAGAACGTTTATGACCTATATTTTATGTCTTAAAATTAGCTTAGAACAAACCTAGACAGAACTTGACTGGTAAGATCTACGAGAAGTTTAAGGAGGAAACAGTTCCAAAATTATCAAGTTCTTCCAGTTAAAAGAGTGTTGTCCCCAGCTCATTTTATGAGGTTAACAAAACATTGATACCAAAACCATTCAATGACAGTATAAAAAAGGGAAAGTTACAAGCCGCTCTCACTTATGGATGTAGCTGCAAAAATCCCAAGCAAAAATATTGACAAGCTAAATGCAGCAATATTTGAGGATAAAATAATCTGCCCAAGTTGGAGTTACACAATGAATGCAAGGTTTGATTGGTATTGAAAAATCAATCAGTGTAATTCACCACATTAAATGAAAGGAAAAATGATAATCATTGCAACACACACAAAATATCTGATAAAATTTAACCACTATTCATGCAAAAGATAAACTTAGCAAGCCAGGAAGAGAATTTTCTCAATAAAGGATATTTAAAGAAAACAACAACAATAAACAATACTTAGTGGTAAAAATATTAACACCTTCCCTCTGAGAACAGGAATAACACAAGAATGCCTACTATCAGCATGTTTAACATTGTACTAAATGTCCTAGCCAACTCTTTAGGCAAGAAAAAGACACAAAGATACAAGGATGAGAAAGGAATAAACAAAATTGTTTGCTGGTGATACGATTATTTATATAGAAAATCCAAAAGAATCCACAGATACCATGTCTTGTCAATTCCAAGACACATTTTACAATATTTGAACATCTCTGGAATTGGGCTGCATCTCACAATAGATCTTGAGTCATAATTTAGACGCATTCTTAAGAATGATGGTACATAAGTGGTAGATCTGATAAATGATGGCATATTAGGTATATCAAAATACAGTAAATTGTTAGAATTTTGAGAGTTTGGCAAGGTTGCTGATACAGTCAATATAAAAACATCCATATATAAGTATACTAGCAAAAAATAGCAAATGAATTTTAAAATAAGAATTATTGTTAAATATAATGACATTAAGATTATGAAAGAAAATGAGATACACATTGAAAGTATCGGGAGTTAAGTATGATAGCAGAATTGCTTTAAAATATTTCAGCAAAGGAAAAATATATAAAGCAAATATAGCAAAGTATTATTGTTAAATTTAGGTGACATATACGAGAGTCCAGACTGCTCCCTCTGATTTCATGTATGTCTGAAATTTTTTATAACAAGTTAAAAACTAAGAAACATCAAGGAAAACCTTAAATGAAGAGATGTGCTGGGTTCTTGGACTGAAGACTCAATACTGTAAAGCCATCTATTCTATTCCATGCAGTCCCAAAAATTCCAACAGGTTTTTAAAAATGGAACTTGGATTAATTTTAAAATTGATATAAAAATACAAAAACTCAAAAATAGCCAAGATACTCTTAAAGAGAATATGGTAGGAGTGCTTATCAGATATCAAAGTTAAATAAAATAAGACAATGTTGTATTGGCACACGGATAGACAAGGAGGCCAATGGGACAGAACACGGAGAGTCCAGAGGGGCTACATTCCAGAACAGCCACATGAGAGGCTCAGGGAAACCTCTTCCCCAGAAAGACATCTATTAAACTGGTCAAAATTAGCAAAAGCAATCATTCGGCATCTCCAGAGATTGACCAAAAGGTTTACAACAAATGGTGAAACATTTATTCAGCAACATCTAAGGAATCCTGGTAGGAGAGGACGAGGGCATCACTTTGGAACTAGCACTAGAGCCTTCACCACCGCCCACAGATCTCCCTTGCACAAAGACCTTTTCCAGCAGGTAGAGTGTAATTAACAGCAAATCAGTTACACACACACACACACACACACACACACACACACACACACTTCCATTCCCTATGACTAAAAAAAAAAATATTGATGAAACCACTTCAAAAATCAATCCTGCACATGGTCACATCTAACTTTAACACGTTTTCAAAAGTAGATGATTTTCTAGGTCATAGTCTCTGGTCACATGCCAATAAAATTAGGGGTAAGCAATTTAAAATACGAAAAAAATAATTAAAAACAAACCCTTAACTACTTGGAAATTATACAGTCTCCTAAATAACCAATAGATCAAAGAGAAAATAACAAATTACAATCTAGTAATTCATGAGAAGGAGAAAATTTCATGCCTAAATGTATAGAGTGCAGTTAAAGCTAAAATCAAAGGAAGATGTGTAACTTAATTAAATATTTTTATTATTGAGAAAGACTAAAATTAAAAACTCAGTTCTACTTTTAATTAAGATTAGGAAAAGAACAAAATTAATAGTACAAAACAGATCCAAATTAAAGTTAAAATTAATGAAAGATGTTTGAAAAACAAAGGAAAAATACATTTTTTGACAGAGTCTCACTCTGTCACCCAAGCTGGAGTACTGTGGCGCAATCTTGGCTCACTGAAGCCTCCGGCTCCTAGGTTCAAGCGATTCTCGTGCCTCAGCCTCTCAAGTCGCTGGGATCACAGGCATGTACCACCACACCCAGCTAATTTTTACATTTGTAGTAGAGACAGGTTTTTCCCATGTTTGGCCAGGCTGGTCTCAGACTACAGACCTCAAGTGATTTGCCTGCCTTGGCTTCCCAAAGTGCTGAGATTACAGGCGTAAGCCACTGTGCTGGCCAATGCAAAATATTTTTAAATACAATACAGAGGGAGCTAGGCATGGTGGCCCACACCTATAGTCCCAACACTTTGGGAGGCCAAGGCAGGAGGATTGCTAGAGGCCAGGAGTTTGAGACCAGCCTGGTGGCATGCCCCTATAGTTTCAGCTACTTGGGACCTTAGGTGAGAGGATCATTTGAGCCTAGGATGTCAAGGCTACAGTGAGCTATGATCACGCCACTGTACTCTAGCCTGGGTGACAGAGCAAGATCCTGGCTCTAAGAAGAAAAGAAAAGGCCAGGTACTGTGGGTCATACTGGTAATCTCAGCACTTTGGGAGGTTGAGGCAGGTGGATCATGAGGTCAGGAGATCGAGACCATCCTGGCCAACACTGTGAAACCTTGTGTCTACTAAAAAAATACAAAAATTAGCTGGGTGTGGTTGTGGGCGCCTGTAGTCCCAGTTCTTGGGAGGCTGAGGCAGGAGAATCGCTTGAACCCGGAAGGCGGAGATTGCAATGAGCCAAGATCATGCCACTGAACTCCATCCAGCCTGGTAACAGAGTGAGACTCCATCTAAAAAAAAAAAAAAGATACAAGATAAAAAAGAAAAAAAAAATAGGATATATAAATCACAAAGTTGCTCTTTGAAAATGTCAATAAAATTGAATAACCCCTTAAGGAACCTAATTCAGGAAGCAAGAGCAATGGTTTATTACTGAATAAATGGTCCTTGTGTAAGCATCCCTCAGGAAGAAGTTGTTGGGTCCACTTCATAGCATTTCTAAACTATATTCCAGTTGCTTTGAAGAGTTGCTATTAGCCCAGACAAAGCCTATAGCCTTAGCCATTCTACCACACAGATTTATTCAGATGTTTCTATGACCATCTTCTATGATAACACAGAATAAAATCCTCAACTGTGATTTAAGGCCCTCTGGAAGTATCTTTACCATTGGCAGCATCCTTTCTATTAATCAACTCTGTTACTTTTCAGATTCTTAACCCTCCTTTCCACTCTGCAAAAGACAACATCAAGAGAATGAGAAGATAAGCTACAGACTCAGAGAAAATATTTGCAAAACATGTATCTGTTAAAGGACTGTTACCCAAAATGTATGAAGAACACTTAAAACTCAACAGTCTGTTTAAACAGTCTGTTTAAAAACTAGGCCAAATATCTGAACAGATACTTCACCAAAGACAACACACAGATGCCAAATGTACATGTGACAAGATGTTCAAAATCATGTCATTAGGAAATTGCAAATAAAAATGAGACACCACTACATACCTGTTAGAATGGCCAGAATCCCAAAACACCATCAGCACCAGATCTGGTGGATGTGGAGCAACTGAAACTCCCATTCACTGTTGGGGGGAATGCAAAATGGTACCGCCACTTTGGAAGATACTTTGGCAGTTTCTTACAAACATACTCTCTTACCATGTGATCCAGCAGTTGTGCTCCTTGGTATTTACCCAAATGAACTGAAATCTTATGTCCACACAAAACATACAGATGTTTATACTAGCTTTATTCATAATTGCCAAAACTTGGAGGCAACTAAGATGTCCTTCAGTAGGAGAATGGAAAAACTGGTACACTCAGACAATGGATTATATTCAGCACTAAAAAAAGAGCTATTGGCTGGACATGGTTGCTCACACCTGTAATTCCAGCACTTTGGGAGGCTGAGGCAGGCGGAACATGAGGCCGAGAGATTGAGTCCATCCTTGCTAACATGGCGAAACCCCATCTCTACTAAAAATACAAAAATTAGCTGGGTGTGGTGTTGCACACCTGTAGTCCCAGCTACATGGGAGGCTGAGGCAGGAGAATCACTTGAATCCAGGAGGCAGAGGTTGCAGTGATCCAAGATCACACCACTGCACTCCAGCCTGGCAAAAGAGTGAGACTCTATCTCAAAAAAATAAAAAATAAAAAAAAGAGCTATCAACTCAGGAAAACACTACATACTGTGATTCTCCCAAATCTTCCCTAACCCTCTGTTCACAATTACTCTCTCAATTTGTACTCTTAATTTTTGGGGGACAGAGTCGCACTCTGGCTGGATTGCAGTGGTGCAGTCTCAGCTCACTGCAACCTCTGCCTCCCAGGCTCAAGGGATTCCCCTGCCTTAACCTCCCGAGTAGCTGGGATTACACTCGTGTGCCACCTCGCCCAGCTAATTTTTGTATTTTTAGTAGAGACAGGGTTTCACCATGTTGGGCAGGCTGGTCTCAAACACCCAGCCTCAGGTGATCCACCCACCTCGGCCTCGCAAAGTGCTGGGATTACAGGCATGAGCCATTGTGCCTGGTGTCATTTGTACTCTATCTTATTGAGATACAGGCAAACAGTTTGCCTTCTATGAGACTGCGTTTTAAGCCTATCTCCCCCGCTCCCTTGGAAAGGAAGTTTCTGCAACTGGCTGCAGATTTATTGAATTCAATATATCTCCTTACTGGCCAGGAAGGACTAGCCGTATTTATTATTTTTAGATTATATTCTTATTTCTAAAAATCATCAGAGAACATTTATGACCTGTATTGTGTGTATTAATTAGCTTAGAGCAAACCTAAACAGAACTTGGAAGAGTGTTTACTTCCATCTCCTGCCTTTATGTTGTAATAGACTCAAACTAGCAGTTCAGGCTTTATAAGTTTGCTATAAAATCATGCAGAAAATGAATTCTAGCAGCTCTCAAGTCTTGTAGATAACGTAGCATAAAGTTATTATATGTTGTGGCAGAGGTCCCTGTTAGCAGCATTCAAGTCATAAATTCTTAACCAAATGATTACTTTTCTGTTTTTCAACTTAATTTGATAGTTAAAAAAATGAATCAAAACCCAAAACTTAAGAGGAATAACTAGTAATTGCATTTGATCCAGAACAGATGGCTAGTCAGATATTCCAAGGTTCTCTTCATATCTGAAAAGAAATAAACCCAATTTTTAAAAAGACAAAAACATTTAATAGGTTTCATGTGCAACTTCAGTACAAATGTTCACTTCAAAAAATATTACCGGATTTTATTAATCACTAGTCCCCCAATAATCTTTGCAGCTTTTCTTCCCAATGAAATGACTTCATTGTAAACTGAACGCTTTGATACATTATTTTGTTTATACTTATACACACATTAGGGAGAATTTTATTATGTGCCTTGAACTTCAACAACTTTAAACTGTTATAGGAATTGCTTGAGCTGATGTCCTAATTCAGCCATTAACCAAAACAAATTTTAAGAATAGGCAAGAAGTGTGAGAAGATGGTGATGTAAAAGGGACTACACTTGGGATGAGGGAGACAATGGTGAGCTGTCAAGGACCTAATGTAGTCCATCATGTTAGAGAACAGCAGTAACAAAATAAGCTACAAGGTCACAGTTAGAAGTCCTGGGTGGTAGCATCAAAGACGAAACCTTTAAAAAACCACAGGATGAAATCCCCAAGATGGCAGCTGCTCACTGTCAAGATTATTTAATCAACTCTGCTGCTGACCTGGGAATGATACCAACTAGTAAGCATTGATTTCAAAAATAAGGCAATTCCAATTGTCCTCTTTTTTTTTTTAAAGAGAATTCTGGTTGAAAACCACATATTACCAACTCAAAATCCAATCTGTGTTGTTCACTAAATTTGACAGCCATGATCAAATAATATTTAACTGTTAAACTCCTTGTACCTTTTTGGATTCACTTCCCCAAGTCAACATAATTCTGTGTGTTTTTACTTACTGTCAGACTCTGAAGAGCTACTTAGGAGATGAGCACCTATCTTAACAGAAATTTTATTCTCTGTCCCATTTATTTGCTCTCTGGAACAAAGAGAAAACCTAAAAATGAGATCTATTTCCAGCACTGCAAGCAATAGAGTAGCTCACTTTTCCTGACTGGTTGTTACATTTGTCTGTTTTCAAATTTACCTCCTTTTTGGTGACAAAAGAGGTGATAAGGAAAAGAGCATTTGAATAAATTCTTCAATTTCACTTCATTTCTGACTCTTGCTTGTTAGTAGCGATGTGCATCTTGGCAAATCAGCTTCTCCAAGCAACCCATCTTGCGCTCTCCCCTAAACTCTGTTAAGGACCATTCTGTTTGTTTCTCGTGTTTGTTATGGAGGTAAATATCACATGAAGCACATAAATGCTGCCAAAGGCATCCTGATCACCTAAACACTGCCTTTTATGTCTGGTCAACTATGCATCTTATCTGTTTAGCTCTGTGGATCACGGATTCCTTTTTCATTTATCCTTTTCCTGGTATTAGTCTTCAGATGAAAAGAGATGCCTGTTGTAGCTTTTGTTTTGATTGCCAGATTTAAGTAATCCACAGTACATCTTGATAGTGACAGTGAAAACTAATTCTGAAATTCCAGAGGTCTAATTGGTAACAAGAGAGTGGCACAGCCCAGGCAAGATGATCCTTACCATCCTAGTGGTGAGCATTTAGGACAGACATTCCTAGTCATGTGAGGAGCAACACTTTATCACTGCCGTACGAGTCTATGACATGAAAGGCTCCCAGATACAAGTGACACAATAAGATTTCACCAGTGAACTTCTTATTAAATAGCCAAAACACGATATCTGCTCCAAATGGATGCTAGACCTTGTAATATTACCATAAAAATGTAAAACACTATGGTAATGTCTTTTTCAATTATTGAATAGGTAAAAAGTGGTGTTGGAAATGTGGGGAAAATGAATAGGCAAGAAATAAACCTAATAAACATACAGACAAGCAAACCCAGAAACACTGCCCTGGGGATTCTTAGATGCAGGGACACATAGTGCTTTCCATCCTGAAGCTCCAGCCGGACAGACGAGGCTGAAATACTCTCCATTTTCTAACAATGAGAATCAATATCCAATGCCAGCATGAGTTTTCACACTGTGCTTTTATGTGGTATGTATGGAATATAAGTGGAACAAAGAATCCACGAGGCTTCATTTAATAAGGACTAGATGGTGGATAAAAATTGGTTTCAGTAGCATGCCACGGCCCAGGATTATAGTAATTGATAGGGCATGCAATGTCTAAGAGATGGCACAGGAGTCTTCAGCGAGTTTAAGCCAAGGTTAAGCTTATATGTATATGCTTTAGAGGCAAAACGGTGTATGACACCAGCTTCCCGGGATTCACGCATCAAGGTTAATACACATGGACACGGTTAAACACGAGGGCTCATGGGAATGTACAGTCTAGTCATGAGGTTGACCTATTTGCTGCTTCCAACTCTGACTTTTTGTAACCTTGTTTAAGTGGGCCGGGACAGCTATTAATGGTCCCAACGACCTCTTTCTCTAATCCTTACTTTATACATCAACCTTCAGGCAGCTCTCCAAAATGTTATTCGAAATCTGTAAAATACAAATAAAACAAAAGACAAAAGACAACATGAACTGAACGACAATTTAAAAATTGAATGTGCAAGAACTTCTCGGGCCTCATCAGCTAGATGTCCTTGCTTAAAATCCATACACCAAATTTAACAGGAAGGTTCTCATTCCTTTAAGAGGAAACTTCAGATGAACAAGTCTTGAATGAAATATCTTTTGGTGGCTAACCATCTTACTGAATAAGAGACACAATTTTTGTAAACTACACAAGAGTGACAGATGCACAAATGTTTTAGCCAGTGTGCCTTTAAATAGGTGTGTCTTCTGGTGGAGCAATGCCTAGAGGAAGGAAGGTATGCCTTCTGCAGGAGGGCGGCCTTCAGAGCCGCAGAGTCATGTTTTTGCCAGTGGATCAAATACCTGCAGTGCTGTCCTCTTGTCTTGGTCACTGATTGTCACCCAGTGACCCGAGGTTTTGTGTTCATGATCTGGTGGCAGCTCCGCCTTGGCAGCTGAAGCTCTAGTTGATGCTGGGTCTGTGGGAGCCCTTTCGGGGATCCTGGTCCCTGAGTCCAACGGGTCTGAGCTCTTAGAAGGCCAAGCGTTATTCAACAGTGTAGGGTGGTGAAGAAGGTTCCAGAAGGGGTCCTGATAATCGCCAAGAAGGGGGACTGCCCCTGGCTTCATTGCTTTGGTGCCATTGCTGTCGGGGCTTATAACAGAGGAAGTGCTGAGAAAGTCCCCTTGTGGGAAGGCAGTGCCTGTGTCAGGTGGGTGACCAGAGGTGCTGTCGCTACTGTTGTAAGTGAGGCCCTGGAGGAGCTGGCTATTGCTCTGCAGCACCTGCAGGTGGAAGGCTGCGGGGGCTGACTTCTTCCTCCTTGGGGGGACTTTGGGCACAAGAGATGGCACCTCTGGAGGTGGTGGCATGGAGGCTCCTGCCACAGGAGGGGCTTCATCTGATGCTGGCTTTCCATGGCTTGGCCTCCTCTCTGCAACTTTCCCAGGCTGAAATGTTCTTGGTTTGGGAACAGGAGGGACTTGAGGGACTGTGGTGACAGGAGGGGTCTCAAGGCTTGTCTCTGGGGGCCCGATTGTAAAATGGCAAGGCTGTTGCTCAAACTGTTCTTCCGGTGACAGAGGCTGAGAAAAAGTAGGACAAAGAGTGTAAATAAGAAGCCAACACCTGGGAAGCTGAAGATCAGAGAACACTGAGTGGTCAGCAGAGAACAGAGATGAGACCAAGCTGACATTCTAGCAAATTCAAGATTTGAGAATGTGTGGGATGCCAGAATGTGACCAGGTAAGAAAAAGCACAGGAGAAACACACATTTATCAGGTCACACCAGCAGGTCCAACGAAAATGAGCGGAAATTCTAAAACCAGGGCCATAGTAAATAATCAGAGACAAACTTCTCTTTGTCACTTTAGGAAATGGGGTTATGCTTTTCCCTTACTGAAAGTAAGGGAAACTCTCTGAAAACACTCTGAAAATGCAGCCTGGGCTGATGTATGGTCTGGACCACGCTAGGGTGAAGTAACTTGTGTTATAATACTAAGCTAATTGAAGAACTAATGGATATACTTTCTCCTTGAATTTTTTTGTTTCTGTTTTTTTTTTGAGACAGAGTGTCACTCTGGAGTGCAATGGTGTAATTTCAGCTCACTGCAACCTCTACCTTCTGGGTTCTAGCGATTCTCCTGCCTCAACCTCCCTAGTAGCTGGCATTACAGGCATCTGCCACCATGTCCGGCTAATTTTTGTATTTTTAGTGGAGATGGGGTTTCACCATGTTGGTCAGGCTGGTCTCGAACACCTGACCTCAGGTGATCCACCTGCCTCGGCCTCCAAAAGTGCTGTGATTACAGGCGTGAGCCACTGCACGTTGCTCCCTGAATCTTTTATACTTAAATATTGGTAAAAAATGGAAACCTTTACACTGCCTTGGTTTTGATTCAGATCTATCACAAAGAAAACAATTGCACAGTCAAAATGAAGCTTTCATACAGAAATGGAGATCAGTAGGCTAGTTAAACATTGGCATTTCAGAATTCTTTCTGGTTCTCTAGAAAACAAACTAAAAAAAATATATCTTTTCCAACAGCCTTTTACTCTAACTCCTGTGCAGCAGGTTGGGAAAATGAATCCATTTCTGCTTCTGGCTTTCACAAGAAAAGACAAAGCAGGTGGTCCCCGACTTAACAATGGTTCCACTTAGGATTTCCACTTTACCCCAGGTCACAAGCGCTTATGTTCCGTAGAAAGCAAACTTCAAATCTTGAAGTTAGACCTTTTATTTTTAGTATCATAAAATAGGCTGTGTTAGATTTTTTTTTTTTTTGGCCCAGCTGTAGGCCAATGTATGTGCTCTGAGCATGTTTAAGCTCAGCGAGGCTATGACGTTTGGTAGATTAAGTGTATTAGATGCAATTTTGACATGATAATTTTCAACTTATGATGGGTTTATTGGGGACATAACCCCATTTTAAGTCGAGGAACATCTGAACAGGGAAAAGGGGGAGGAAAAAGGTCCACTTTGTAAGGAGGCATGGACGAGGGATGGACGGCAATGAGCCAACGTGGGATGGAAGAGCAACCCAGGAAATACAAAGCAAGTGCTGCCAAGAGTGAAGCCAAAGTCCCTGCTCACACTCCCTTGGGGGGAAGCGGCGCCACGCTGCGATGACCAGGGAGGGATTACCGAGGGTCCATTACTAGAACACTGAGATCAAACGGAAGATCCAGATGTGTCTACAGATGCCAGTCTTTGGGCTGCTACTGTCCTTACAAACTCATGTCTTTGAAGCAGTAAGCAAGGCTGAGAAGCTTGAGAGCGAGAGCAAAAAACAATCTGCAAGAAAAGCGTCAAGAAAAGCTGTGGAACCTCACGTAGACCGAGGCCGCACGAGAGCCTGTGGACCTGGCGAATCTGGGAATCGGTTACTGTTTTTCTAATGCCTTGAAACCACGTGCACACAACACAGACCACACGCAAATGGACGGTACCAGAACACGTGGGGAAAAGCATCCCACTGTGGTTCCCCCTGGGGATCCAGAACACTTAGGAAGCATAATACCTCCAAGCTGTTCTCGTCACACTGACAATCTGCGAGACAGCGGACCCCTTGTTCTTCTCAGCCAGAGCCAAGACACAGTAGGGCATGAGGGAGGAGGCAGTTGTCAAACCCTTCCCCAAAGACACGCCTGTGCCTGGAACTCATGAACGAGAGGATGTCCATAGGTAACTAGATTTTTTGTCTGCGAGACACAATTCTTCACGAGACACCCGAGCGACTTAGGAGTAAGAGGGTTCATGCTACCAGGTTGTTACCTTTCCTGTCCTTCTAAAGGTTGGCTTCTTGATGGCAGGAACTCTGGGTGGGGGCCGGCGGGGCAGGAGCGGGGGTGCCTGTGGGGTCTCTGGTTTGGCTGCCCCTGGTATGGGCTCTGGTTCAGAGGATGCTTGGTCCCTTGGGGCCATGGTGTTGAAGGCTTCTTCTGTGGTGCCTGAAACATAAAACCACATGGCGGCAGTGTCAAGGGCGAGGCAATTCACTGCATGATTTCGTCTTTAGACAGTCTACATCCTAAGGGTAATTTACGAATTCAGTGTATTTCAGGACTAACCAGCTAGGTTCAGCACCAGCTTTTTTCACTATTTATTTTTTAAGATGGGATTGTGCTGTGTCACCCAGGTTGGAGTGCAGTGGTGCGATCACACCTCACTGCAGTCTCAACCTCCCAGGCTCCAAAAATTCTCCCACTTCAGCCTCCTGAGTAGCTGGGATTACAGGTGAGTGCCACCATGCCCAGCTAATTCTTTTTCATTTTTAGCAGAGATGAGGTCTCACTATGTTGCTGGAACTCCTGGGTTCATGCAATCTTACCTCAGCCTCCCAAGTGGCTGGGACTATCGGTGCGAACTACCATGCCCAGCTAATTTTAAATTTTTTGGGCAGGGTGCGGTAGCTCACGCCTATAATCCCAGCACTGTGGGAGGCTGAGGTGGGCTGATCATGAGGTTAGGAGTTCAAGACCAGCCTGGCCCACGTGGTGAAACCCCATCTCTACTAAAAATACAAAAAGTAGCCAGGTGTGATGGTGTGTGCCTGTAGTCCCAGCTACTCGGGAGGCTGAGGCAGGAGAATCACTTCAATCTTCTCCTCTGGGAGGCAGAGGTTGCAGTGAGCTGAAATTGCGCCACAGCACTCCAGACTGGGCGACAGAGTGAGCCTCTTGTTATAAATAAATAAATAAAATGAAATAAAATAAATTTTTGCCTTGAACTCCTGGACTCGAGCAATGCTCCTGCCCTGGCCTCCCAAAGTGCTGGGATAATAGGTGTGAGCTACTGTGAGCCATAGCCCCAGCTTTTCACATTCACCTTCCTAGCAGGGGTGGTGATCTGGGGTCTGTGGATAGTCTGGATGCAGACCAGTGAGACCCTGAGATCATATGCAAAGTCTCATGTGTACTTACCTTTCTCAGGGGAGATGATCCAAATACATCCAAATCTCAGTGGGGCCATGACCAAGAGCGTGTTAAGCTGGGACTGTAGGTGGATTTCAAACCTCTAGTAACATCTGCATCCCTAGTTTTTGTTTTTTTAAACAGCTTTATTGCGATATAATTCACATACTGTGAAATTGACCCTTTTTAAGTGTACCCTTCATTGTTTTTAGTATATTCACTAAGTTGTGCAACCATCACTACATCTAACTCCAGAACATTTTCATCACACAAAAAAGAAGCCCCACACCTTCAGCAGTCACTTCCCACCCACGCCTCTTTCCAGACCCTGGGAAGCATGACGCGCTTTCTGGCCCCATGAATTTCCTGGCTGTGGCCATTTCATAAAAAGGGATGGTACACTATGTGGCCTTTTTTATTTTCCTTCTTTCTTTCACATAGCATAATCTTTCCAAGATCCACCTATGAGGTAGTATGTATCAGCACTGTGTTCTTTTTTAATGGCTGAACAATATTCCACTGTATGGATGGACCACATTTTGTTTATCCATTTATCAGCTGATGGAAACTTGGGTTGTTATATCCATAGTTTTAGTTATTTTTCTAAAATAAAAAAAAACCATTTGTGGCAGTATCATTCTACAACAGTAGTTCTCAACCTTTTAACTCATGCCCCCTTAAATATTATTTGAGAATTCCAAAGCAGTTAAACATGCTGACTAAAAGGAAATTAGGCAATGGTGATTGCTTACGCCTTTTCAAAGGGCACACTCAGCCGGGCGTGGTGGCTCACGCCTGTAATCCCAGCACTTTGGGAGGCTGAGGCAGGCGAATCACCTGAGGTTGGGGGCTTGAGACTGGCTTGGCCAACATGGTGAAATCCTGTTTCTATTGAAAATACAAAAATTAGCTGGGCATGGTGGTACACGGCTATAGTCCCAGCTACTCAGGAGGCTGAGGCAGGGGAATTTTTTGAACCTGGGAGGCAGAGGTTGCAGTGAGCTGGGGTTGAGCCACTGCACTCTTGCCCAAGTGACAGAGTGAAACTCAGTCTCAAAAAAAAAAAAAAAAAAGGCACACTCTCCTCTTGCCAAGGGATATTCTGGAACAAAGCCAAGGCCAAATGTAAAAGTGTAAATTACCAGTGATTATGAATGAAGCCGGGAGAGCCCAAGGTGATTAATGTGGGTTCAGTGAAGTAACCGCAACAGAAAACAGACAGGATGGTGGGAAAGAGGTCCCTGCCTGACACTAAAAACTTTACTTACACTTGCCAGCCATTTAAAAGGTAGATTTTGTGCCTGAAATTAGGACAAACAATGTAACTGTGTCTTTTTTATAAAGCTGGCAGAATGACTTAGTGCCAGCAGCATTAACCTGTTTTTAAAATTCAATTTAGTTTATTTCAGTCTCTCCTCTAGATGCTGCTTAAGAGCCCTGGGATGATTTTCATACACACACTGAATTTTAAATGGACAATCAGTATAGATTTATATAAAATGTTGCTAAAGGATGCTTTCATTTAATGTCACCTCCAGAAGAATAAAAAGTTATTTTCGTTTCTAGACCACTTTTAGTGGGGAGAGGAAAAGAAAAGGAGGATCGGGTTTCCCCTTCCAGCAGAAGACCTACCTCCTCTGGCTTCCAGGAGACACCGGATTGCTGCTTCTGCCTCCTGGGCATTGGTGGTTTTGATCTGCTTGACATTATAAGGTTTACTTATTCCAGTCCGAGCCTTGGGCTTGAGGGCAGAATGAGGAAGAGCAGAGTATCAGCACAGGCAGGAAGACAGCCTCACGGATGCATCTGCTACCTGCGGGTCTGCGCAGGGCTCCCCCAGACTATGCTGCCCATACAAACTCCAGCCTCCACCGCACCCTGCCATCCTCTCTTCCCCCAGGAGCTCTCCCTTTCCAACAAGAGCGCCATACACTAGAGACCTAATGAACCTTGTCTCCAAAGCTGCGTGGTTACAGATTTTTGTATATGGACTGACCATCTTCTGTCTTTATCTCAATAACCAGGTTAAAGTCAAGAAAGCAAAATCAGAGGCCACTCTTTCCATGGTCTGGCTGAGTTATTAAAATATATTCCAGATATGTGTTTCTTTAAAAGTGCCTTATTTTTATTTTTTGAGATGGAGTTTTGCTCTTCGTTGCCCAGGCTGGAGTCCAGTGGCGCAATCTTGGCTCACTGTATCCTCTGCCTCCTGGGTTCAGGCGATTTTCCTGTCTCAGCCTCCCATGTAGCTGGGATTACAGGCGCCCGCCACCACGCCCAGCTAATTTTTGTATTTTTAGTAGAGACAGGGTTTCACCATGTTGGCCAGGCTGGTCTTGAACTCCTGACCTCAGGTGATCCACCTACCTCGGCCTCCCAAAGTGCTGGCATTACAGGCGTGAGCCACCACACACGGCCAGAAGTGCTTTTTCTTCTTCATCCAGCATCTGGGTTGCCTTTCATGACCTATTTTCACTACTGTAAACCACTGGCCTCCAGTCACCCCTCCACTTGCCAGGGCTGCACAAGCACCTGGCCAGGCCCAGCTCCCCAGAGGCATCCCGGGCACGGCATCCTCCCCCAGCACCTGGCCTCCCCTCTCTTCCTTCTACTCCCCTGCCTTCACCTGCTCTCTTTCCCAGCAGTTCATAGAACCCTCTGGAACCCTGCACCTCCATAATCCTCTACAGCTGTTACTGTTACTAGTGTGTTCCCCAACTTCATTATTTAGATGTCTTTTTAGCCTGTTCTCTCAACTAACTTGACTCCAGAATGATCATCATTTTCCCAGGATGACAATCTGAATTTCTCCCCTTTTCCCTTCTACCAAGAAATGCTCTGTCCGTACACTACGGGCAGAGGCAAGAATGGGAAGAGAGAGAAATGGATGAGTCTGGAAACCAGGGATACTTGGGATTTTTCATCAAAAGCGATTTTCTCTAGAACACTCCATACAACCATTTAAAAGCCCTATGGAGGACCTTCGAGGGTATAGGTTATGGGGTCTGGAGATGTGCTGGTGAGCAGGAAGAGGGGTTAAAGACACGTAAATCTATATATTTGCTGGGAAGAGAGATCCCATACTCTCCCGCAGCAAAACCCTTGGGTGTGAAATGAGTGCAGAAGAACTCACTGGTTGCTGAGGTGCTCCTGGCAGGAGTCTCGCCATCTGCAAAATCGAATACTGCCCATGGGTGCCGGAGGAGATGGAAGCATCTGAAGCCGACTTTTTCACCATTAAACCGGCTGTGAAAACCAAGGAGTGCAGAATCTCAATCTCAGTGAAGCAGTTTCCCAGCCAGCTGCCAGGAGCCCGACTAGACGAGGCGGATGTCCCAGCAGACCACAGGCACGGCGAGGTCCGAGAACTCACTCGGCACCTCGGGTGCCCACAGAGCTGGGCCCTCCTGGGCTCCCTATGGAGTTTCTCACTAGATTCTGCCAGCGTCTGCCTATTGATGTCGATGATCTGGAGACGCATTACTGGAATGCAAACCTTAATCCTGGGGAGCCAGATCTGATATAAAAACCAATTGATTTTGAAATGGTTCCAAATACTATTACTAGGAACAATTTTTTTTTTTTTTTTGAGACGGTGTCTCACTCTGTTGCTGCCCAGGCTGGAGTGCAGTGGCCCAGGTGGAGGTTGGCTCACTGCAACCTCCACCTCCCAGGTTCAAGCAATTCTCTTGCCTCAGTTTCCTGAGTAGCTGGGATTACAGGCTCCTGACACCACGTCCAGCTGATTTTTGTATTTTTTTTTAGTACAGACAGGGTTTCATCATGCTGGCCAGGTTTGTCTAGAACTCTGACCTCAGGCGACTTGCCTGTCTTGGCCTCCCAAAATGCTGGGATTACAGGTGTGAGCCACTGTGCCTGGCCCAAGGACCAGATTTTTAAAATATTTTGTGGGGAAGAAAATCTTTCAAAAACACAAGCCTGGGCAACATGGTGAAACTGTCTCTACAAAAAAAACAGAAACAAAAACAAAAACAATACCACACCACCAAGACTGGTGGCACATGCCTGTGGTCCTAGCTCTGAGGCGGGAGGACTGCTTGACCCGAGGAGGTCAAGGCTGCAGTGACTGTGAGATCCCTGCACTCCAGCCTGGGCAATACAATAAGCCCATCTCCAAAAAAAAAAAAAAAAATCCAAAGCAGGGGAATAAACTGTTAGATTATACTTTTAAATTATACTTGCAGCCATTAACAAATCATGTTTTAGAACATTTAATGACACAGAAAATATAGCCGGTTAAATGAAAGACAATTGACCAGAGAAAATAGGTATTAATTCTGTTAAAAAAAAAAAAATACGTTGCTACAGATAAATGTAACTGGAAAAAGAAGTCTTTTGTAATAATTTTATCTGAAGGTCGTCAAGTGAATTTTAAAATTTTGTTCTTTATAGTTATCTCCAAAATTTCCACAATAATAGATGACTTAGATATGTTATGTTTAGGTTATTTTTATATCTGGGCATGAGGCTTGCCACTGGTTACTACCGTGACGTCAGCTGCGATAAGCCCAGTTCTGAAGTAACGGCTTAGGAAGATCTAAATCTGATCATTGCATTTTTGGGGAGGGAGAAGGAAACAGTGGTGGGAAGATGGAAGCTGATCAAAAGCACATCACAGCTTTGCTTTCTCGGCAGCAGAGCGAGGACTGCGCAGCAGCTGAGGAGAGACGCATCTGACTGCGAAGCTCAGTCCCTCCCACGGCTGCGCCCGATTCTGCATGCTCTAAGGCTGCCAAGGGACAGCAGCTTGACGCCAAAGCCCAGCTCCAGGGTGAAGAGCAGTTTTGGAAAGGAACCGTTTAACGTGCCATGAGAAACACAACTAGCCCTGACGTCAAACACGTCCTGGATTTACAACAAAAAGGAGCCCCAGGAGGAAGAGGCCCTGTGGGGACCCGAAGGCCAGGAGAAGTGGATTCCAAGCCGTGTTTTCAGTAGCAGGGAATGCGCAGTTATTCCCGGCAGGCATCCAGGGAGCTGAAAGCAAGCAGAGTCTTACTTGGAGGGGGGGGGTCTCTGCGGGGGGTGAGGTGGCCGAGGCCGGTTGGGGACCGACAGAGACCTGCTCGGAGAACGGTGGCGGAACTCCCCGACGGCTTCCAGCGCCCGCTTGAGCTCCACCAGGTCTGCGTCATCTGGAGGACATGGCGGGGCGTGAGTACAACAGTCTGTCCACACTCAGGCATGTCAGACACGGGTCTGAGCATAGGAGGCTGCGTGTGGCAGGGGGACCTGGTGCAGGACAGTTGAAGGCTCTGTCCAGAAATGGGCACTCCTGTCTGCTGGCGAGGGGTGGGGGCGGGGAGGGTACCCAGTGCCTGCTTGGAACATTCACTGAACCATGGACAACATGTGTTTCTCAGACTTGAGAGACACTGAGCTATTTCAAAGCATTTCAAAGCGTGTTTTCTTGTGAAATAACAAGACTCGCGCAGAGTGGAGGAGACAGTTGCAAACAGCCCCTGAGGGTCACCCAACCATGGGGAGGCGTTTTGAATTCCTCACTCAACACACTGACTGAGGAAGCTGAGGGTACTCTCCCTGCTCTGGCAGCAGGGCAGTCTGGCACGCAGTGGCCAGTGCTTAGGACTGGGCATCCTGCTCCCTTGTCAATTCCCAAACCCTGTGGGCCCGTGGCCGGCCACTCCCAAGGGTCTGCCATTCTGACCTGCCCTGCACGCACCTTCCAAGAGGCTGAGGAGTCCTGAGAAGGCAAGGCTCCTGCTTCACTACAGATCAAATCAGCAGCCTTTGGGCCGCCCCACAGCATGGCCCTCTCCAGTTCACTTTGGCTCAGACACCCCACTCCTCATATCCAGCAGCTCCACCCCATGTGTCCTGGAGGCTGGAACTGGGGAAAAGCAGGATTTCTCCTACAAATGGGAATGGCTGAATAACCCCATAGCATCAAGGGAAGACCCTCTCAATGCCCACCAGGTAGCAAAGCCACCCATGTGTCTCGTGTCGCTCTATTAGCTTCTTCATGCAAAGGAGAACCTGTGCTCACACGTACACTAGCTCCAGAGGCTGCCTGCATGATGGTCACTCCCAAGAAAAGGGTCCTTCTCATGGGAAGAGCACATTCCTCCAGCCACTTAGCTCCAGGGCAGACGCCCCTGGCAGGAGCAACACACAGAACCACCGTGATGCTCTGGAGAAGGCTGCTGCTTTGGTTTTGGTTCCCCACACCTGGCTGTGCATCCAAATCACCTGGAAAGCTTGGTGAAATACCAGGCTTCCAGGGTCCCACCCCACTCCTGCCAAATCCAGATCTCTCTGGCAGGGCTCAAAAAGCCATACATTTAAAAGCTCCTGATGGTTTGGTGTAGGCAAGTTATTGATCAGTGTGGGGACGAGCATACAGTCAAAGGGGCTTGGAGGTCTTTGCACCTCTCCTGGCAAAGTACCCTTCCTGAGAAGTATCTTAATTCACTTTCAGCCCTGTTCTCTGTTCTCAGTCCCAGCTCAAGGGACCCAATGCATGGCTGAGCTCCTGCACCTGCTGGTTAGAGCATCCTCCAATTCGGGACGCAATGACTCACAGCTAGAGGCATGCCTGGCTATGAATGGAACAACATCAACGAAGCTGACACTGAAGCATGAACCACCCTATCTGCCAGCCATGTAACACTAGTGGGCTTCAGAAGTTACTCAAAACAGTTATTGGCTAGGTGCAGGGACTCACGCCTGTAATCCCAGCACTCTGGGAGGCCTAGGTGGGAGGTTCACTTGAGCCTGGGAGGTGGAGGTTGCAGTGAGCTGAGATCGTATCATTGCACTCCAGCCTGGGAGACAGAATGAGAGCCTGTCCCCCCCCCAAAAAAAGGTTGTATCATTTAATCTAAGGGTGTGTGGTTCAATCTATGTGACCTTTCAGGCCCTCTTAAGTCTAAAATGATACAATGATATGGCCATGTAGCATGACTGTATGACAATATGATATTATATAAATGTGACAATACACCAGCAACTCAGGACATAGATATGGAATATGTCTCTATTGGGATTGAATCGGAAGTTGTTTTTTTTTTTTTTTTGAGATGGAGTCTCACTTTGTCGCCCAAGATGGAGTGCAGTGGGGCGATCTCGGCTCACTGCAACCTCTGTCTCTTGGGTTCAAGTGATTCTCCTGTCTCAGTCTCCTGAGTAGCTGGGATTATAGGCACATGCACCACCATGCCCTGCTAATTTTTGAAAAATATTTTTAGTAGAGAACGGGGTTTTACCATGTTGGCCAGGCTGGTTTCGACTCCTGACCTTAAGCAATCTGCCCATCTCAGCCTCCCAAAGTTCTAGGATTATAGGTGTGAGCCACTGTGCCCGGCCAAATCAGAAGAGTTTTGTAGGGGGTAGGAAATAATCACAAATATACAACCATTTGAACGGCCAGAGGAAACAGGAATTATCTTGAATCTGGTGTGTTACGGGGGTACAAGTTACTGTAAAAAAATAAAATACTAGAGGAACTCAGGGTGTGGGAGCTGGCTGCCTCTGCAGAGCTGTCCCCACCACTCGCTGGGCCTGCCTGGTTCAAGTCTCTCCTGGGACCTGCAAACTTGACATCACACAGTGCCCAACTGCTGAGAGAAAAAGAGAAGTCTATCCTGAGCTGACTCTGTGGCAGGGGCTCCTGAGAAAAAAAGGGTCAGGCTACCTTTGTACGTCGGATGCTGCTTCTTTTTGGTGAGTGCAGGGGACTTGCTGGGCGGAGCCACTGCTGTGGGGCTGGGGACCTCAGAGAGGTCATCTCCCCCCAGTTCACTGTCTGAGACCCCAGGCTGACTGAGTTCATCCACCAAGTAGTCTTCATCCTCTTCAAGAATATCCCCTGGGAGAAGGAGATGAATCACAATTAAGGTGAAAACAATGAGGGGAAAAGGCATGGTCTTTCATCAGTGGGACTAGTTCGGCTCCTGTCTGGACACCTGCACCCTGCCCTGCAACCCAGGGTACGGGTGCCAGCAGGGATGGTACCCCTGCTCCACTGGTATGCCCACAGCTCTGCCATCCTCAAAGCCAGTGTTTGTAGCATAAGTTTAGACACCTCCATTCCCAGGTACCATAGCATGCACTGTCCACACATATGAACATGTTCATCACATGGGATGGAGGGCTTGCCCTGTGGGTGTCCTCTGTCACTTCTGCAAGGTAGGCTTTAGAAGGTGTCCTTAAAAGCTCGGCCCTGTTGCTGGAAGAACGGCTTGCTTATCCCTCCGTGCAGGGTGACTAACCTTCTGACTCATAGTCCAAACTTGTGAAGTCAAAGTTTTCCTCCAGCAAACAGGAGTTGGCAGTGGGAGACACAGGGCCCATGCTGTCTCGTTTCCGAATGATCTCCTCTCGCAAACCTTTCAGCCAGTCCTTCGTCTTCGGTCTAATCTTTACTGCTCTGCCTTTTACCTGGGAGGGCAGAGCGGCCACCCAGGAATAAATAAAAATCATGACCAGTCCTGTTGATCACACAGTGCTTCTCATCCAAACCCACACACCCGCAGTGAGGCCAATCTTTATGTTTGGCCATGAAAAACCAAGGGTCCAGACCTCAGGGGGACACAGCATAGCTTTCATACATCTGGTTGAAAAAAAGTTGAACTAGGCCTGGTGCAGTGGCTCACGCCTGTAATCCCAGCACTTTGAGAGGCCGAAGCAGGTGGATCCCTTGAAGTCAGGAGTTTGAGACCAGTCTGACCAACATGGCAAAACCCTATCTCTACTACAAACACAAAAATTAGCTGGGTGTGGTGGTATGTGCCTGTAGTCTCAGCTACTCGGGAGGCTGAGGCAGAAATGCTTGAATCTGGGAGGCGGAGGCTGCAGTGAGCCGAGATTGTGCCACTGCACTCCAGCCTAGGTGACAGAGTGAGACTCCATCTCAAAAAAAAAAAAAAAAAAAAAAAAAAAAAGTTAAACTCTCATCTCCAGCTTCCCCCTTGGTATAAACTTAAAGCCAAGATACTATAAAAATGGAAACTACCTATGAGCTGCATATTCCAAAATACATACTCTAAAGAGAAAGACTGGAACAGTCTCCCACATGGAGGTGTGAGCCAAGACACATGAAGTAACTCGGTGGGAACTACACTCTCAAATGGCTAATCTCCTGCAGCTGCTGGCTACCGCGGCCATCCAGCGCAGCACACCGTGACTCACATTCTTCCTCCCTGTTCTGTTTGGTTGGTTGGTTGGTTTTTTGAGACAGAATTTCATTCTGTCACCCAGGCTGGAGTGCAGTGGTATGATCTTGGCTCACTGCAATCTCCGCCTCCTGGGTTCAAGTGATTCTCCTGCCTCAGCCTCCTGAGTAGCTGGGACTACAGGCGCAAGCCACCATACCTGGCTAATTTTTGTATTCTTAGTAGAGACGGGGATTTGCTATGTTGTCCACGCTGGTCTCAATGTCCTGACCTTGGGTGATCTGCCCACCTCGGCCTCCCAAAGTGCTAGGATTACAGGTGTGAGCCACTACACCCAGCCTTCTTCCCTATTCTGCAAGTAGCCAGAGCAGGACATGAGACACCTCAGAACCAGAGTGAAGAATCCAAACTCTATCCTGCATATGGTGTCTACACACAAAGACAGATTGGTAGTGAGGCATGAAAGCTCATGCCTGTAATCTCAACACGTTGGGAGGTTGAGGCGGGAGGATGATGGGAGCCCGGGAGGCTGAGGTTACAGTGAGAGCCATGACTGTCCCACTGTACTCCAGCTGGGGCTACAGAGCGAGACCCTGTCTCTACAAACAATTGGAAAAATTATCTGGGCATGGTGGCATGCCTGGGTCCCAGCTCCTTGAGAAGCTGAGATGGGAGGACTGCTTGAGTCTGCTAGTTCAAGGCTTCAGT